GAGAGAGAGAGAGAGAGAGAGAGAGAGAGAGAGAGAGAGAGAGAGAGGGAGACAGAGAGAGACAGAGACAGAGACAGAGACAGAGAGACAGAGACAGAGAGACAGAGTTAGAGATGATAGAGAAAGATAGGATAGAAAGATAGATGATAAATAAATAGATAGATCATACCTAGAGCATAGATAAATGGATAGAGACATAGAGAGGATAGATAGAGATAGATAGATAGATAGATAGATAGATAGATGATAGAGCATAGATAGATGGATAGATTGATTGATAGATGATAGAGAAAACTAGCTATAGACAGAGATAGATAGATGATAGAGAGAAATAGATGATTGATTGATAGAGAGAGAGAGAGAGATATTTAGATAGATAAGATGATAGAGAGATGATACAGAGAAAGATAGGATAGATAGAAAGGTAGATGATAGATAAATAGATAGATGATAGCTAGAGCATAGATAGATGGATAGATTGTTAGACAGATGATAGAGAGAGATAAAGATAGGAAAGATAGAAAGAGATGAAAGATGGATAAATAGGTGATAGCTAGAGCATAGATGATGGATAGAGAGAGAGAGAGAGAAAGCTAGATATAGATAGATAGATAGGTAGGCAGATAGATAGATAGAAAGTATTATACACCCTAATAATAATATTTTAATAATATGTATTTGTGTGTATGGATAGAATTATATTAATTATATTAATAATAACTTTTGTATAATATGTGTGTGTGCATATAGATGATAGATAGATAGATAGATAGATAGATAGATAGATAGAGCGTAGATAAATGGATAGAGAGATGATAGAGAGGAGAGAGAGAGAGAGAGATGATATATATAGAAAGAGGAGAGAGAGAGAAATATGGGTAGACAGATAGATAAATAGAGTCCACCCGGTATCCCGAACCCGGGAAGACCCCTTCATCTGTGAGTCCCCTGTCTCCTCCAGCCAAGGTACATCTCCACCTTCCATCCGTCTGTCCAGCGGGAGATTGAGGAGAAGAAGAAGGCACCCTGCCAGACCATGGGCATCCCAAAGCTGCAGGTGCCCACCCCAAAGGACTACCTCCGGAAACACTCCAAGGAGCGCAAGGTCCCCAAATGTACATTGGTGCGCTCGACTCTTCCTTTCGGTCGTGGGGTGAAAGGAAGTGGGACTCGTACCTCTTTCTTCCTCCGGTCGAGATCCCGGGGGCCAGTTTGAAGACTGGGGGGACTTTCCCTGAACTGGTTGGTGGTGGTGGGGGTTGCCAATGACATTGTGAAGTCCCCACTGTCCGGGCGCCAACCAATCCCCCATCCACCTATTTCAAATCATAAGTCTCCGAGTCCTGAACCCTTGGATTTATTAGGCGTGGCCATGATGGTGTTGGGTGGGGAACCCAGAAATTGGCTCTCCCTGTCGGTTTTTTCCCCTCGTCGGAAAGTCACCTAATGGCACCTCGCGTCCATCCAAGTCAGTTGCCGAGCTTTCAAAATTTGGACCGGGGGGGGGGGGAGGATGCCGCGCCGGGGCATTCAGTGTGAAAAAAACAACTTTCAGTAAACTCGACGGAGGATCGTTCAGTGGAGTTGAAGTCCCAACACCCAAAGGATGCACCGTCACCCACTCAGGCTTTGTGTTTGGGTTTTTTTTGTTTTTTGTCCCATCACCCCACAACAGAAGGCACGTACGAGCGACCAAAGCGTCTCCCTGTCAAAGCCCAGGTGCCTCCCCTGTCCGACCGGCCGCTGATGGGCATCCAGAGCGAGAAGAACTTCGGCCACGCCAATGTGGCCGAAGCCATCATGGCCATGGTGAAGAAGCCCCTCCATGCCTGCGTCGACCAGCGGAGAGGGGATAAGTACCTCCTGGACGGATCCAGCCTGGTCCAGAAATACCTCAAAAAGAAGGTGCGGCTTCCCTTAGGGGGGTGGGGTGGGGCCAGAGCTCAGGCTGGGGGGGGAGGAGGGAGGGGAGAATAGGGAGGGGTTTTTGGGAGAAAAGGCCTCTCCCCCTCCCCTTCCCCATGTTTTCCTCCCTCTCCCTCCTGCTTGGCTTCCTACTCTGTGGAAGGCTTACGTCCGAGAGCTTTTGTGGGGGGGGGCACGGGGGGGAAATGGGTTGGATGTTTGATGCGGCATTGATATTCTGGGGGGGGCTCTTAAGTCACACCGAGGGGGCCTGGTGAGATGAGAGATGATGGCTCGATGGATGGATATAGATGACAGACAGACAGACAGACAGACAGACAGACAGACAGACAGATAGATATACAAATACAAATACAGAGAGAGAGAGAGAGAGATGATAGATAGATAGGTGATAGATATAGATAAATAGATAGATAGATATAGATAGATAGATAGATAGATAGATAGATACATACATACATAGATAGATACATAGATAGATACATAGATAGATACATAGATAGACAGACAGAAGCCTGATGGTGGCAGATGAGATTCTGCTGAAACGTCGCTACAACTTTAAAAGCGCAACTACTATGACATGGGAAAATACCCAAGCAAAGCCGAATGCCATAGATAGATAGATAGATAGATAGATAGATAGATAGATAGATAGATATACAAATATACAGAGAGAGAGAGATGATAGATGATAGATAGATAGATAGATAGACATATATACAAATACAGAGACAGAGAGAAATGATAGATAGATAGATAGATAGATAGATAGATAGATAGATAGATAGATAGATACAAATACAGAGAGAGATGATAGATAGATGATAGGTGATAGATGATAGGTGATAGATGATAGATAGATAGATAGATAGATAGATAGATAGATACAAATACACACATAGAGAGTGAAAGAGAGACAGATAGATATAGGTAAATAGATGATCGATAGATAGATATAGATAGATAAATAGATGATAGATAGAGATAGAGACTAGAGAGATAGTTACAGAGAGAGAGAGAAATAGAGAAATAGAGTTGATTATGATAGATAGATAATAGAGATATGTAGATAAATACATAGATAAAGAGACATAGATAGATAATGTGTGTATAATACACACACTAACATACACACACCCACACACACACAGGGGGGATAAATAGATACAGAGAGAGAGAAAAATAGAGGTGATGATAAATGATAGATAGATAATAGACAGATGATAGCTAGAGATGGATGATAGCTAGAGATAGATGATAAATATAGATAAATAGATGATAGATAGGTAGATTGATTGATAGATAGACTAGAGAGAGAGAGTTAAATAGATATATATATATATAGAGAGAGAGAAAGACAAAAATAGAGGTGGTGATAAAGGATAGATAATAGAAATGTCTGTGAGTGTGTGTGTGTGTGTGTGTGAGAGAGAGAGAGAGAGAGAGAGAGAGAAAGAAAAAGAAAAAGAAAAAAGAAAGAATAGAGAATGATAGACAAAAATAGATGGAGAGAGGTGATCGAGGATAGATAGATGGCAGACATGACAGCCTCACCCACACTCCCCCGGACCAGCATCGCGCTCCCTCCCGCCTCCCTCCTCCTCCAGGAGGAGCCAGCGTGGAAAGAGATGGCCGATCGGCACCCCCTCCCCATCTGGCTGGCCAAGCGCCCCACTTCTTCCTCCGCAGGACTTCGGGGTGACCCCCAACTACATCCTGGGTTGTAAGAAAGAAGCTGCAGAGGAGCGCCAAGAGCAAGTGGCCGCTCGGCGGGAGTGCCTGCAGAAGAGACACCTGACCCGCCTCTCCTCCCACGAATGAGAGGACATCCTGAACGTAAGCCGACGCCTCCCCCATACTTCCCCCCCTTGTTGGGATCCATTGCTCGAAGGCTAAGCGGTAAAGCACATGGTGACTGTGCGCATTGTTTGATCGGTGGTGCTATGTATACAAAGCATTTCCAACCTCTAGTTATATACTTTACTTAGCATCTATACTTCCTTGGTGTCCTGTTCTCAGTTACGGCTAAGGAGTAAAGCACATGGTGACAGTGCACATTGTTTGATCGGTGATGTTATATATACACAGGATTTCCAACCTCTAGTTATATACTTTAGTTAGCATCTATAGTTTCTTGGTGTCCTGTTCTCAGTTACGGCTAAGCAGTAAAGCACATGGTGACTGTGCGCATTGATAGGTGATGTATTATATACACAGCATTTCCAACCTCTAGTTATATACTTTAGTTAGCACCTATAGTTCCTCGGAGTCCTGTTCTCAGTTACGGCTAAGTAGTAAAGCACATGGTGACTGTGCACATTGTTTGATCGGTGATACTGACATGAGATCTTCCTAATTGAAAAAAAAATTGAACGGGTTAGTATGATCCACGTTTTCTATCCTGGTGGATTCTCGCTGGTCTCTTGCGCTGTGGTTGCTCCTTGCGGACAGTTCATGACCCAGCTGGATGATATCATCAGGGCTAGAAAGGGGTAGGATGTGGATAGGAGGAGGAGGAGGCGGAGGAGGAGAAGAAGAAGTAGTAGTATGAGAAGGAGAAGAAGAAGAGGAGGAGGAGGAGGAGGAGGGGGGGATGGAGGAGGAGGGGAGAAGGAGGAAAAGAGGAGGAGCCAAAGAAGACGAGGAGGAGGAAGAGGGAAGGGGAAGAGAAGGAGGAGGAAGAAGAGGAGGAAGAAGAGGAGACAGTGAGTATGGTCTCTGAGCTTCGTTGTTTCCTTGCGGACGTTTCATGACCCAACTAGGGAATGTCATCAGTGCTAGAAGGCAGGGAGGAGGAGAGGAGGAGGAGAAGGAGAGGAAGGAGGAAGGGGAGGAGGAGGAGATGGACTGGGGCACCCTTCCTCCTCCTCTTCCTCCTCCTCTTCCTGCTCTTCCTTCACTTCCTCCTCCTCCTCTTCCTCCTCCTCTTCCTCCTCCTCTTATGCCTCTTCCTTAACTTCCTCCTCTTCATCTTCCTCCTCGTCTTCCTCCTCCTCATTTTCCTCCTGCTCTTCCTCCTGCTCTTCCTCCTCCTCCTCTTCCTCCTGCTCTTCCTCCTCCTCCTCCTCTTCCTCCTCCTCTTCCTCCACTTCCTCCTCTTCTTCCTCCTCTTCCTCCTCCTCTTCTGCCTCTTCCTTCACTTCCTCCTCTTCTTCCCCCTTTTCTCTCCCTCTTCCTCCTCCTCTTCCACCTCTTCCTCCATTTCCTTCCTCCTCCTCTTCCTCCTCCTCTTCCTCCTCCTCTTCCACCTCTTTCTCCTCCTCTTCCTCCTCCTCTTCCTCCTCCTCCTCTTCCTCCTCCTCCTCCTCCTCCTCTTCCTCCACTTCCTCCTCTTCCTGAGGATCTCACAGCTTCATTGTGCACCCAGCGGACGTTCCACGCCCCAACTGGACAAGGCGCCCTCTGTTTTTCCCTCCTCCGCGGCGGAGCACCGGGGTGGTGGTGTAGGGAGAAGGGGGGATGGAATCTCTTCGAAATGGACCCCGGACCCTCCTCTCTCTGTCCCCCCCCCTTCCCTGCAGGGCCTGAAGACCAACTGGGAGGACTTGAA